TAATATGGATCAAGGCCTAGAAGTTTGGTAGACATCTCAATGTGTTGCTACATTTCACTCACACTTGATCATTTTTATTGATTGATGCATGTTCTCACCATACCCCATGTAAAAAATTGTCTATTTAAGGAGAAAAGTCCTTTTTTCTGATCTTTTTTTCTGTTCTCAACAGATCAGGTCATTAAGGAAACAGATTTGAAAGAAACTGGATGGAGTCACAGGTTTTAAACTACCATCAACGTTCCTAAGATAATCTGATGATTTTTATTATTTATTGGACTTATATGTTTTTTCAGCAGACACCTCATGTAAAAAATTCTGTATTTAAGGAGAAAGTCCTTTTTTCTGATCTTTTTTCTTGTTTTCAACAGATCAGGTCATTAAGGAACAGATTTGAATGAAAGTGGATGGAGTCACAGGTTTTTAACTACCATCAAACGTTCCTAAGATAATCTGATGATTTTTTTGTTATTTATTGGACTTATATGTTTTTTCAGCAGACACCTCATGCGTACTGCTACATTTCACTCACACTTGATCATTTTTATCGATTGATGCATGTTCTCACCATACCCCATGTAAAAAATTGTCTATTTAAGGAGAAAAGTCCTTTTTTCTGATCTTTTTTTCTTGTTTTCAACAGATCAGGTCATTAGGAAACAAATTGAATGAAAGTGGATGGAGTCACAGGTTTTAACTACCATCAAACGTTCCTAAGATATCTGATGATTTTTTATTTATTGGACTTATATGTTTTTTCAGCAGACACCTCATGTAAAAATTCTCTTTTTAAGGAGAAAAAGTCCTTTTTTCTGATCTTTTTTTCTTGTTTTCAACAGATCAGCTTATTAAGGAAACAGATTTGAATGAAAGTGGATGGAATCACAGGTTTTAATCTACCATCAAATGTTCTTAAGGTAAGCTGAAGATTTTAGTTTTTTATCAGGTTTAGAGGTTTGGGCAGACACCTCATGCGTACTGCTACATTTTACTCACACTTGATAATTTCTACTGATCGATGCATGTTCTCATTGTACCTTATGTAAAAAGTTGTCTATTTTAGGATGACGTTTGATTTTTCCCTGTATTTCTCTTGTTATCATCTCATCAGGTCATTAAGGAAACAATTTGAATGAAAGTGGATGGAATCACAGGTTTTAAACTACCATCAAATGTTCTTAAGGTAAGCTGAAGATTTTTAGTTTTTTATCAGGCTTAGAGGTTTGGGCAGACACCTCATGCGTACTGCTACATTTACTCACACTTGATAATTTCTACTGATCGATGCATGTTCTCATTGTACCGCATGTAAAAAGTTGTCTATTTTAGGGTGATGTTTGATTTTTTCCCCTGTATTTCTCTTGTTGTCATCTCATCAGGTCATTAAGTAAACAGATTTGAATGAAACTGGATGGAGTCACAGGTTTTAATCTACCATCAAACGTCCTAAGGTAAGCTGATGAGTTTTAATATGGATCAAGGCCTAGAAGTTTGGTAGACATCTCAAGTGTGTTGCTACATTTCACTCACACTTGATCATTTTTATTGATTGATGCATGTTCTCACCATACCCATGTAAAAATTGTCTATTTAAGGAGAAAAGTCCTTTTTTCTGATCTTTTTTCTTGTTTTCAACAGATCAGGTCATTAAGGAAACAGATTTGAAAGAAACTGGATGGAGTCACAGGTTTTAAACTACCATCAAATGTTCCTAAAATAATCTGATGATTTTTGTTATTTATTGGACTTATATGTTTTTTCAGCAGACACCTCATGCGTACTGCTACATTTCACTCACACTTGATCATTTTTATCGATTGATGCATGTTCTCACCATACCCCATGTAAAAAATTGTCTATTTTAGGAGAAAAGTCCTTTTTCTGATCTTTTTTTCTTGTTTTCAACAGATCAGCTCATTAAGGAAACAATTTGAATGAAACTGGATGGAGTCACAGGTTTTAAACTACCATCAAACGTTCCTAAGATAATCTGATGATTTTTTATTATTTATTGGACTAATATGTTTTTTCAGCAGACACCTCATGTAAAAATTCTCTATTTAAGGAGAAAAGAGTCCTTTTTTCTGATCTCTTTTTCTTGTTTTCAACAGATCAGCTCATTAACAAAACAAATTTGAATGAAAGTGGATGGAGTCACAGGTTTTAAACTACCATCAAACGTTCCTAAGATAATCTGATGATTTTTTATTATTTATTGGACTATATGTTTTTTCAGCAGACACCTCATGTAAAAAATTCTCTTTTTAAGGAGAAAAAAGTCCTTTTTTCTGATCTTTTTTTCTTGTTTTCAACAGATCAGCTTATTAAGGAAACAGATTTGAATGAAAGTGGATGGAATCACAGGTTTTAATCTACCATCAAATGTTCTTAAGGTAAGCTGAAGATTTTTAGTTTTTTATCAGGCTTAGAGGTTTGGGCAGACACCTCATGCGTACTGCTACATTTTACTCACACTTGATAATTTCTACTGATCGATGCATGTTCTCATTGTACCGCATGTAAAAAGTTGTCTATTTTAGGATGACGTTTGATTTTTCCCTGTATTTCTCTTGTTATCATCTCATCAGGTCATTAAGGAAACTAATTTGAATGTGGATGGAATCACAGGTTTTAAACTACCATCAAATGTTCTTAAGGTAAGCTGAAGATTTTTAGTTTTTTATCAGGCTTAGAGGTTTGGGCAGACACCTCATGCGTACTGCTACATTTTACTCACACTTGATAATTTTTGCTGATCGATGCATGTTCTCATTGTACCGCATGTAAAAAGTTGTCTATTTTAGGATGACGTTTGATTTTTTCCCTGTATTTCTCTGTTGTCATCTCATCAGGTCATTAAGTAACAGATTTGAATGAAACTGGATGGAGTCACAGGTTTTTAAACTACCATCAAACGTTCCTAAGATAATCTGATGAGTTTTAATATGGATCAAGGCCTAGAAGTTTGGTAGACATCTCAAGTGTGTTGCTACATTTCACTCACACTTGATCATTTTTATTGATTGATGCATGTTCTCACCATACCCCATGTAAAAAATTGTCTATTTAAGGAGAAAAGTCCTTTTTTCTGATCTTTTTTTCTTGTTCTCAACAGATCAGGTCATTAAGGAAACAGATTGAAAGAAACTGGATGGAGTCACAGGTTTTAAACTACCATCAAACGTTCCTAAGATAATCTGATGATTTTTTATTTTTATTGGACTTATATGTTTTTCAGCAGACACCTCATGTAAAAATTCTGTATTTAAGGAGAAAAAAGTCCTTTTTTCTGATCTTTTTTTCTTGTTTTCAACAGATCAGGTCATTAAGGAAACAGATTTGAATGAAACTGGATGGAGTCACAGGTTTTAAACTACCATCAAACGTTCCTAAGATAATCTGATGATTTTTATTATTTATTGGACTTATATGTTTTTTCAGCAGACACTCATGTAAAAAATTGTCTATTTAAGGAGAAAAGTCCTTTTTTCTGATCTTTTTTCTTGTTTTCAACAGATCAGCTCATTAAGGAAACAGATTTGAATGAAACTGGATGGAGTCACAGGTTTTAAACCACCATCAAACGTTCCTAAGATAATCTGATGATTTTTTATTATTTATTGGACTAATATGTTTTTTCAGCAGACACCTCATGTAAAAAATTCTCTATTTAAGGAGAAAAGAGTCCTTTTTTCTGATCCTTTTTTCTTGTTTTCAACAGATCAGCTCATTAAGGAAACAAATTTGAATGAAAGTGGATGGAATCACAGGTTTTAAACTACCATCAAACGTTCCTAAGGTAAGCTGAAGATTTTTAGTTTTTTATCAGGCTTAGAGGTTTGGGCAGACACCTCATGCGTACTGCTACATTTTACTCACACTTGATAATTTCTGCTGATCGATGCATGTTCTCATTGTACCGCATGTAAAAAGTTGTCTATTTTAGGATGATGTTTGATTTTTTTCCCTGTATTTCTCTTGTTGTCATCTCATCAGGTCATTAAGTAAACAAATTTGAATGAAACTGGATGGAGTCACAGGTTTTAAACTACCATCAAACGTTCCTAAGGTAAGCTGATAAGTTTTAATATGGATCAAGGCCTAGAAGTTTGGTAGACATCTCAAGTGTGTTGCTACATTTCACTCACACTTGATCATTTTTACTGATTGATGCATGTTCTCACCATACCCCATGTAAAAAATTGTCTATTTAAGGAGAAAAGTCCTTTTTTTTAATCATTTTATCTTGTTTTCAACAGATCAGGTCATTAAGGAAACAGATTTGAATGAAACTGGATGGAGTCACAGGTTTTAAACTACCATCAAACGTTCCTAAGATAATCTGATGATTTTTTATTATTTATTGGATTTATATGTTTTTTCAGCAGACACCTCATGTAAAAAATTCTCTATTTAAGGAGAAAAAAGTCCTTTTTTCTGATCTTTTTTTCTTGTTTTCAACAGATCAGGTCATTAAGGAAACAGATTTGAATGAAAGTGGATGGAATCACAGGTTTTAATCTACTATCAAATGTTCTTAAGGTAAGCTGAAGATTTTTAGTTTTTTATCAGGCTTAGAGGTTTGGGCAGACACCTCATGCGTACTGCTACATTTTACTCACACTTGATAATTTCTGCTGAGATATCCATGTTCTCATTGTACCGCATGTAAAAAGTTGTTTATTTTAGGATGACGTTTGATTTTTTTCCCTGTATTTCTCTTGTTGTCATCTCATCAGGTCATTAAGTAAACAAATTTGAATTAAACTGGATGGAGTCACAGGTTTTAATCTACCATCAAACGTTCCTAAGGTAAGCTGATGAGTTTTAATATGGATCAAGGCCTAGAAGTTTGGTAGACACCTCATGCGCACTGCTACATTTTACTCACACTTGATAATTTCTATTGATTGATGCATCTTCTCACCATACCCCATGTAAAAAATTGTCTATTTAAGGAGAAAAGTCCTTTTTTTTAATCTTTTTTTCTTGTTTTCAACAGATCAGGTCATTAAGGAAACAGATTTGAATGAAACTGGATGGAGTCACAGGTTTTAATCTACCATCAAACATTCTTAAGGTAAGCTGACAAGTTTTAGTTTTTCATCAGGCTTAGAGGTTTGGGCAGACACCTCTGGCGTGTTTCTACATTTCAGTCATGTTTTCACCATACCGCATGTAAAAAAAAAAAAAAATATATATATATATATATATATATATATATATATATATATATATATATATTTTGTATGTTTTCAACTAATCAGCTTTTAAAAATAACAGATTTTATTGATCTTGGAAGGAGTTGCAGATTTCCTAATCCTTTCCAACGCTCCTAAGGTAACCTGATGATTTTTATTTTGATTAAGGCCTAGAAGTTTGGGTAGACACTTCAAGCATGCATCTGCATTTCACTCATACTTTGTAACCTCTACTCATTGCAGAATGTTGTTTTTTCTTTGTGGGCACATGAGCCCCCCTGCTGTTTTTCTACTTCTCTCTGTCTTTATGTCCCTTGCTTTTGCACCTGTTCTCTTTTTCAGAACCGATGCTGCACTTCGGACCATCTGCTGCCTTGAGACGTCTCGATCCCTTCATTCCTTCCCTCTTTAACTCTTTCAACCCATTACACATAATGGTTACCCTGCACAGTTGCTCTTCATGAAGTTTCTCCACATTTTTCCCGTAAAGGGTTTTTGTGGAGTTTTTCTTTTATTGGCATCTTGACATGGTAAATCACAAGCTTTGTCTGCAGGTCAGTATTTGTCTCAGCTCCCCTAAAGGTGACCAGTGTTCCTCCAGAAAGCAACAGAACTTGATAACAACAATCAACCATAATATCAAAGAATCTTTATTTTAATCCTACAATGAATAATATAATAAATACAATTGTACCTAAATATTAATCTGATCTCATTTGTGGTCTTTAATTCTTATTATGTGTACATACACATTTGGTTGTCAGTTAACTAAAACCAAGTAGCCTGAAACTCCTGCTAAAACCCTCAGAAGCGGAGTACATACAACCACCCAACTTGACACTAGATGTCAGTATCTTACAGAACATTGGTTTATTGCTCAATATTACAAATCGCAGGATGCAGCATAATTGAGCAGCAACATGTTCTCAGGAGTATGTGCAGACAGGCAGAAGAGAGAACTGACTGGAAGACAGAGTCATAGAATAAAAGTAACTGTGCTGCACAAAGCTCTGTCAGTCTCAGAGTGTCAGGGTGCTAACTGAAGTCATGAGAAAACCGTGCAACAGCTGACCAGCCAGCAGGGCATCAAAACAGTCACTGTGTGTGTGTGTGTGTGTTCAGTACTCAACTAAAAGAGAGAGGAAAATGGTAGGAAAGCCTATTTTCTAATGGACACTTTTCAAGAACTATGATAAACATTACTGACAATCATGATACAGGGATCAAATGGAACAAGGGAATGCTGCAGGACTAAGTTGCAGTTTTGCTGTCAACATTGTGGTCTGACATATTATCTGATGTTGACTTACTAAGCTTTATAGTTCAGTTCAGTGTCCTTTATTGGCAAGAATGTTTCATTTAAACAATGTTGCCAAAGCAGTTTCAAAATCAAAAGTTTAGATTTCAATATGACATAACAAGATCAATCCAATCAAAGCCATTCAATTTGGCAGTTATAAATTACAAAAACAAAAATAACAAATATAGATACAACATAGACTGTAAATAAAAAGGATGACTTAACCTGCCATGCAGCAAATATTAAGTGCAACAGTCAGTAGCTGGCCTTCAGGTTGTGACACAGGGACACATACTTCGCGGCAAGGTTTGCTGTATGTCCTACTATTTGGATTATTCCTAATTTATCTTCAAGTTTTTTTAAATTCGGTATTAATAGATGGAATTTCTCAAAATATTGCTCTGTTATGCTTCTATATTTAGCCCATTTCAGGAGAAAACGTGTCTGTCTCCACCTCGCCGGTCATTTATATTTGTCATCATTCAATTTTACATAAACACATAGCATAAACAAATATTTTCAAGTAACTTTTCTTGTATACTTTTGTGTGCTCAAGATATGAACTGAGCCAGACACTTTGACAAATAAACATTTCAATGTTCAAACTATGTACTGAAGACTCTAAATAACCCCAAACATATCATTGGCATTTTTGCACTTGCACTTGCATGTTACTCACTACAATATTGGTCATCATGCAATTAACTAATATCATCTGATAATATCAGGTTCTAAGTAATGTATGTAACATGGTGAGGGTGAAAAAACACTGAAAGAAATGGGGAAAAAAGTGTAAATTTAAAGCGAGGTTACAATGACAAATTGATTTGCAGTATCTATTAATCTTGCAGCTGTATCCATCTTATCTATATCCCATACTGTGCACCTGATAATGCAGCCAGGTGAATATTATAACAAATCAGTTTCAGTTTCTACAGTAATTCGTACTGCTGCAGTGATTCTGATTCAGCAAAACCAGTCATTTTTATGACAAGGTCGTACTGGACACATCTGTGAGCTTTAGAGGTGCTGGTAGGCAGATTTTGTTACCTTTTTTGTGCACAAAGCCAGCAATTCACTCAGCTGTTGCCGTACAGGACAGCTGTGTGTGTGTGTGTGTGTGTGTGTGTGTGTGTGATCAGAGGACTCAGGTTCCTGTGACTCCTGCTAATGTGTTTACGGTTTACAGCATGAAATGCCATATATTCTCTAACAGCGTGCTAACAGACATTGTCGAAGACTGATATACAAATAATCAGCTACGTGTAGCACATGTTTAGTGCTTATTTTATTTTGTGTTAAACAATAACAATAGTAACCACAAAACATTGTTCATTTACAAGAATACAGGAGTATAAATATAGAATATCTGTCCTACGGGGTAGTATTTGAGCATTTCTCTAAAACACAACAGACACACACTCAAAAAATCATTCGCTCAATCATTCAGAAAAAACAAATGGAAGACCATTAGTGTCTCAAAAGGTTCAGTCCCTTCTGAAGACAGTCTCTTCTTTAGTTTAGTGCTGAGAGTACTGCTTGCACTCCACTTTCCTCCTTGACTACTTTTTCTCCAAAATAGTCTCTACGTCTTACATTTCAAATTGACTTTTAGGAGTTACAGGAGGAGCTCAATAATCAAGGCAGAACACTGACACATTCAACAGCTTGTTTTGTCCCATTTTGTTCCTCATTAGGAGATTCAGATCCAAAAAAAGTGGCTCACTGTACACATTAATACAAAACATTGGTGTCTGTAGCATATTAACATCAATCAATGTTAAACTTTGACACCTCACTGTAAAGCATCCTCGTTGAAACAGAAAGCAAAGAGGTTTATGGGACATGCAGTTTTTTGAATAATGCTTGCACAATACCAACAGAGACCAACCCTCCTGTCCCTACGCTCATTTATTTTGAATACATCCTCATGGGTTCACAATTTCTTTGACAATGATGTTATGATGTTAAAATACACTACATGTTGCACCATTTTTAATATGACACCATCTGATGTTTAGATAATACAGAAACCTATGCTGCCTTCAAATGTGTTTCCTGTTTTCACTGAAAGAGTCCATATCTTGTTGTATTCATGAAGTGTTTACTGATGTTTTCAGAAATGGCAGAGGCCATGGAAATACATTTTTCAGTAGATGGTAAATTAATACACTGTAATTTTAGTTATAGAGTTTTTCAATGCCAAGCATGTCGTGTACACGAATTCCTATGTTATAACCACAAGCTCACAAGTTCCATTTGAAGGCAGCAATGATGTCAGGTTGGTTGGAGCGTGTGCTCTTCATCCTGCCCCGCCCCATGTCTTCTGAGAGTTCAGTTTGAGGCTTGAAGCTGGGCACGGTGAGTGTTTCATGTGTGATAGACGTTGATTAGACACTGTTGAGAAGCAGAATGGTAGTAGCTGAACTGGGAGAAGAAATTTCAGGGTTAATGTAATGGGGGTCTTGTTCATCCCCGGTGTCCTCTTCTTGCTTTTGTGCTACAGTCAAGGTTAGCTTGTTCAAACTGGCTTCTAGCGTTGCCTCCGCTCCCTCTGCTCTGTCACCTGCAACACACACACAGAAACAGGGCATGTAATGGTGAATAAATTTGCATGTTAAAGTAAACCAAAGGTTCCACCAACTTACTCAATGAAACAAAACTTTATTGAAAACCAATCACTTTCCAGTTAATTTCATCCACCTCTAGCACGATGGATATGATGCTGTTTTACAAAATGTGATGGTTCAGATTCCCAACCAAGCACAGAGAAACAAATTATTATATTTTGTGCTAATAGTCAAGGTTTCAGTGGACAGCTTTACTGTCTTATTTTTAAAAGGCACTTTCAGAGTTCAAGAGATAAAGACCTTTTAGAAAGTAAAGGTGTAAATAAGGTGTGCAAAATTGCTATTGGCCTTTAAAAATATACACAATATAATTTTAAACAAACCCAGGGTAAAACCTAGCTCAACTTTAATTTATACTACTTTGAGCAAATAAACTGTGTGTGAATTCTTTCTATTGACGTCACACATAGTTTTAAGTGATACTTAAACACTTCTTGGAAAGTTGTTTTTCTCTGTATCTTTTTTTTAGTTTAACATTTTGGAAAATATGCTTATTAGCTATCTTTTCCAGAGTGAGACAAGAATATTGATATCAATCTCATGTTTGTGTGTTACTTAGAGTCAGGACCTGGTTTGCCTACCTTATTATAAGTTAGTGGAGTCCATGGGACCGAGCCTAGCTCTGTCCAAAGTTCAAAAATACACCTACTAACACATCTAAAGCTCACTAACTAACATGTTGTATGCAGTTTGTTTAATCCATACAAAAAACAGACATGTAAAAAATGACTAGTAGTGGTTTCAGTGAAAGTTCCATGGTTAACTTTTTCTTGGGGAACAATAGGTTGACACAGTGACTTCCTGGAGCCTTGTCACAGTGAGGCTGCCAGATTTCATACAATTGTCCATGTACAGAGGATGGATGGATGGATGGATATTATTTGCCAATGAATAGTTATAGTATGTAACTAATAAATTATATTATAGCAATTGGTCAGCTTTAGAGATGCTGGTATGCATGTTTAGGAAGTTTTGACAGAGCCAAGCTAGCTGTTTCCCCCCACTTCCAGGCTTCATGCTAAACTAGGCTAACCACATCCAGACTCAAGCTCTGTTCTTAACGCACTGACAGGAATTTGGTATTGATCTTCTAATCGCAACTTTCAGAAAGTATAAGCATATTTCAGAACGTGCTGAGCTTATTGAACGTCCCACTACAAAAATACAAAACAGTTTCAAAATGTAAGATGAAAAATCATAATCAGAAGTCAACACACATATACACACACACAGATGTGATGAACACAAACCTCTCTCCTGGTCGCAGTCTGGAGAGGAAGCTCCACTGCACTGGCTGCGAGGGCCCAGGAGAGGCGAGGCATGCCCGGAACTGCACACTGAGTCTGGGTCATGAGAGCTACAGGGGCTCGCTAAGTCCAGGCCGCCAGGACAGGAGGAGGAGAGGATGGAGGAAGAGGGAGAGGAGGACAGGTAGGAGCAGGAGGTGTAGAGCAAGGAGGAAGGGTAAGGGCAGGGGGTGTCTAGTGGGGTAGAGGCAGAGGTGGAAGGATGAGAGGAAGATGAGGAAGGTGAGGCGGGCATGGCTCGGGATGAGGAGGTGGCATGAGTGTCGGCCTCCTCCTCAGAGCTGCTACTGTGACTGCCCTCTTCGTCAATTGATACAGACACCACTGAAAAACGCACACACACACACACACACACACACACACACACACACACACACATGCACATTAAACATGCAGACACCAACAAAACAAACAACATCTCATAATGTGGGTGGATGAAGTGGATGACTATTCATTTCTAAGCTTCAC